TATATATATATATATAGTTGGAAAATATTTCAACTGTGAGTCACTCATACCTGAAGACGATAATAGTTATCTTCCCAGCCACAATATTTAAAGATTGTGGATATATACGTCGAAATCATCTCATCTGGTGCAGTTGTCAAGATATCAATCAATGGGCTGCCGTTGTTCTCGCTATACCAAAGCCATCTTAAGAGGCCCCATTTGCTGGGATCTCCAACCACATACCTGTCACTCTGGTCAGCTGCTCCAGTTCCAAGTGAAAGAATAAGAAGCTCACGACCATCCATCTTTTGTTCTTTCATCACCTCACACACGGCTAGCAACGACTGATAAAATTTATGACATTAATTGAAAGAAAGCATTCTGACAGTTAAGCAAGTACACAAAACTCAACCCAAGTGTTCCAGAGAGTTTTAGATCCACTTAGCAACGTTAACAACACCTGTATAGCGACATATAGCAACCCTTAACTTACAGGATTGTTGGCTGCCAGACCGCCATCAGCTAAGTTGAAATCAACGGTTGTTTTAAAATTATAAGGAGGGAAGTAATATGGCGCTGCAGACGTGCCAATACAAACATCTGCTATTCCAGCATCGGTTGATTTCTCACGTTTTGCCTGCAATTTTGTTCACCACAGAAGGCGCAAGAGATCACTATATGTGTGTGTGTGAAGCACCTTTCGGAATATTGGTATGTGTTTATTAGATAATTAAGAAGAATCAATGACCTTTAAGCTGGAGAATATGACTGGCTTAAAAAGCTTGATGTCGAAAGTGGGGATTATCACGTTGGTCAGAGCATCACTGAGAAGTTTCTGTCCCACTTCCTCCTTGATTATCTCATGTAGTTTGACACCATCATACCTTGGAAAAACTAGACTCCGAAGTTTCTTACGGATAAAGTTAGGAAGCAATCTCCACTTTAAAAGAAACCGTAATGCAGAAATGAGAGGGTCTACAATTACATGATTCCTGTTTAAGAGAATCACATGGATTTAATTATGCAGAATTCAAACTTTTTTTCTGAGAAAAAAATTATGTAAGTATTTTGTCAGGATATATATTGTTTAAATAAAAAAATTAAAGTGCACAATCCCGACCCTTCGATTTAATTCACCTCATTTCATTATTATATTGCTGGATCTGGTTTCTTGCTTCATCCAGGACAGAATTGATCGCAGCTTCATCATCGAAAAGGTCATCGTCTTCGTCTTGTTCGGTGGTTTGAGGAAATATGAGTTGACTCTTGTCCAGATAAAACTGGAGAATATCTTTTGCTGCAAAAGCTGGTCGTTTTTCAGCATTCGGAGTAGTGAGCATGGCAGTCATAAGACCTCCTGTGCTGGTCCCAGCAACAAAGTCAAAATAATCTGCAATCCTCGCATCCATGTTATCCACATCCAACCTCTATACATACATACAACAAAAATAGCAATTAGTATAAGGCTTCTCTGATCGATATTATTAAGAAGTAACATGAGGGTAACGCTAAAGTTTTTGATAGATTCAAGAACCTGAAGCTTAGCTTCTAGAGCAGTAAGGACTACGCTAGGAACGATTCCTCGCACTCCTCCCCCGTCAATGCTGAGGATTGTTTCAAAGCATTGATCATCAGGACCTGATCCACTCGAACTTCCATTCCCTAATTATTTAACAAGAAAAAAATTAGCTTTGATTATTACAGAGTCTAATCTATTTGATTACAACTCTAGTAATAGGGTTAATATTGAAGTGCTCACCCATCTTGTGAAAACTGAAATACAACTTTGTAGTCTGTGACTATTTCTGCTTCACTACAACTTGAGCTTCTCCTTTGCTCCCCTTTTATAGCACTCCTGAGGCTGCGTATGGTAGCTTAGCAACAATAGTATTGTCTTCTTTTTTTTTTGATGTTTTTCTTGAATATGCTTAGAACATTACTGTACTATTCTTAAAATATATTGAAACTTAGGTTGCCATTAATGTCAAACGTCATCAGATTAAATAAAAAAAGTTCCAGTGACATCAAAGAAAAAAAACAAGAAATCTCATCTGCTTAAATTTTATACGATCATATAACATTTTCTCATTTGTCTCATCCACGTACCATTTTATTTTCTCCTGGCTGGTTACTCACTGCTACGTCTTATTTTACTTAGAGAGATATTTTTGTTTCTTAATAGAAATATTTTGAAACTTTTATTCTCAGCTAGTTGAGTTGAAAATAGAGTTTGGGTTCTGACTCATGATTTATAGTTAGTGTTAAGTTGTTCTCAAAGGATATAAAAGATCGAGAATCGAAGAAGAAAATGTGTTTGATTATGTAAACAAACTCAACCAATGATAATATTTAGGAAATTGTCTAACCTGGTGAAGCGGGCTCAAGTTCTATGTTCTACAAAATTGAACCTTGGGAAATTTTTAAGAAAAATTAGAGTAGAAAACAACAGTTGCTACTAAGTTGTTTTATCAGAAGCAAATTGTTTCTTAGATTTACTAATCCAGAAGAACATATAATAGAATAATTGTATAATTTGATCCGATTACTAAAAACATTCAGCTTTTTCTGGCGTATGGCATAAGAAAACAAGAAATGCCGATAGTATAAAAAGATCAGATATGGAAAGGATTGCTATGTATTTCAACTTCTTTTCCTTCCGAAACAGCAATGAAATGCTACTTGTTATATCCAAAACTCATAACAATTTTTTTATTTGTTAACGTAGGTATCTGAATCACGCGGGTATTTTAACTAATTAAATAAATTTTAAAATTAATAATTATATAAGGTTTAAATTTATAATTATTAAAAAATAAATCTAAATTCTCATAAGTTAAGTTACAATTTAAAATTACTCATAAAAAGTTATTAGTCATAATTTAGTGTGATAAATTGAGAGTGAGATTGGATCTGCATCAAATTCATTAAAAAATTAATAATTAATACATGGTTTAATTAAAGATGAATAATCAATCCCTAAACAACATATTAAGCACTGTACGGTCGCCCAATGCACATGTCAGCCCAATGAGCTAAGCGGACTTACATCACTAACAATTAGTTATTGTATATTTTTTCATTTTCAATGTCAGCTCAAAGAGATAATCATTAAAGAATCTATCGGACCAGACGTTCTTCGGATAAGCATTCATCAATGGTTGGATTACCTCTAAAAAGTGAACAACCAGCCAGGCACTATCCTCTGATTTTAATTTTTAATGATTTTCAGTGAGGCTAACTACCATAATATTTGTTAGGTCAGCTAAATAATAATTAATTATTGTATTGATGCCCTCAATTATAATTTAAGGGCACCGACTTGGTGAAAAATGATATAAAATATGAGAATGGAAGTATAGAAAAGTTTGAGAGGAAACCAAAAAAATACATCTGAAATTATGTGTAAAAAGATTCATGAGAGAATAAAACAGTGAAGTGTTTTTAAAAGATTTGATAATTAAAAGATTACAAGAAGAAGTTACTTCAGACAAATTCAATAAAAAAAATGAATCAATATGGTTACCTCATTATAGTTTAGGATTAATGTGTTGTGATAATAAGGTTTTGAAACACATAGCAAATCATAATTTTTAAATTTTTCAAGTTTTTATATATATTTTTATATCGTTTTAATTTCTTGAATTTAGAAATATTTTTTAAAAAATAAAAAATATTATTTTAATATATATTTAAATATAATTGTTTTTAAAACGGTAATAATTACTATTATTCCAATACATCCATGTTCAGGTTGTAGAAAAGCGGGAGACAACTTGGCAGTGGGAAGGATTTTTTTTGGATTTTTTTATTTTTAATTTTTAAAAAAAGTTTTAATGATACAAAATCAGTTAGATGGAATAAATCAAGATTTGAACCCTGAAATTGCGGCTGGCTGTATGGTAGCTTCACCTGCCTTCGTCTCCGAAGACGTTATTTCCCCTGAGTCCCTTCTTTCCATTCAAGCAGGGTTGGTCTTAATAAATGTGAATCTGGACTCACCGTTACAAACAAGAGAGAGTGGCGGATTCTGGGGAAATCAGTAATATGATTCTAGTGGGGAATTAAGTCTTGGGAACAAACATGAACTTGGGACATACACAAATGACCTGCAAAGAACAGATTGATAGGGAAAGAGAGGAATGGAGGGCCTCTCAGTAACTTGACGTGCTCTGATATTTTTCAACGTTTTGTATTTCTTTCTATGAAGATTGCAGCCTGGAATATTTGTGGTGCGGGTATACGGGGGAATATTCCATTTCTTTCTATGAATATTTGTGGCCACTCATCAACTTATTGCATCAACTTACAAAATGATGTTGGGTGTTGCTTTTATCTGGAAACAAAATTACAGCACTGTAATGATGGTTTCGTTTCAAGGTTGTGGAATTCCACTGCTGTGAAATGGTGTTGTATTTCCCAATTAGCAGCGTGCAATAAACAGCATTTAGCTGTTTCACTAATGAGAGGCACACCAAGATATATACTCAACTGGAACTCACAGAATCTCTACAATTTCCAAGCCATAATATCCATGTCATAGAGGCAAAAAAGCACTCACATTTTTCAAGCTTATACCTTATAATAACCATATACGCCTTCTGTTTTTTTTTTTTAAAAAAAAAATTATGGTCAGAAGAACGTTGCTCATGACACCTAAAATCCGTACCCATAACAAGGCTTGGACGACGAAACTAGTTGTAAAACTAAAATGAACAGGATGCTTACTGCTCAGAAATCATTATGGGAATGCTATCTGGGAAAAATTGTTTTTATTTAGGAGCGATTAAACTTGTGATGCTGCCTGATATCTCAAGGTCATGGTGTGAACTAAGCAGGTATTTCATTACTAGAATTTCTTATGTTATATATAAAACGGTTGTTTCAGTACCCTTAAGCACTATTTTTATTGCTAATGCTGTTCATCGTTAAATTTTTAATACTTTGCTATAATACTTGACATTGATGGGGGAGGAGTGAGAGGCATCATTCCTACCGTAATACTTACAGCTCTTGAAGCTAAGCTTCAGTCTCTTACATTTTCAGGCCAGCTTTTTAAAAGTTTCAACAATTGGTTGGGTCCACACGTTAATTCAGTCAGCAATTAGCTTCTGATTCTTTTGTTGAAGATTTTAATTATATGCAGCGCTAGCGCTGGACAACAGAAAAGCAAATTAGAGATGTACAGCAACTTGTTGTATCTTGTCATATAATCTTTGGTGGGTCAAGTTATGGCTTCCTTCCTGCAACTTCCTTCTTGTCGAACAATACAATAATCTTTGCCACTGTAACATTCTCTTCCTTAACTTTTGATACGGGATTTCGAGTTGGAAAAGATGAAGGAATATGAAACAATTAAAGAGAATTCAGATAGACTTCTTGGAAATGCAAATAAAATCAGGCTACTTGGGTTTGAATTCAATGATTCAAGAAATGTAGAAAATATCCTTGTCACAATACCTGAAAGGTATGAAGTAATAGTTACCACCTTGAAAAAACCAAGGATTTATAAAAAACTTTCGACATATGAGGCAAGTGTTCAACACTAAAGGAGTCTTATTTGCAAAACATCACGGAGCTTACAAAAATAAAAGGTAAGAGAAGAAAGGCTAAAAAAGAAATTCTTTTGCTCCTGTTTTGAATAACGATAGAAGTAAAAACAAAAGCTTCAAGGGTAAATATCCTCACCATGACTATAAAAAGGAAGGTCATCCTCCATTCAAATGTTGGAGGAGACCTGATGTAAAATGTTCAAAATACAATCAAATGGGACATATCAAATGGGACATGAAGAAGTAATTTGCAAGGGAAGAGCTCAGCAGAACAAAAGGATGAAGATTAGTTTTTTGTAGCATTCTGCTTTGTAAGTAGTAGTTCGACTGAAAGTTGGTTAATTGGCAGTGGCTGTACCAACCATATGCCCACTGACAAGAAACTCTTCAGAGATTTTAGGCCAACTAATATTACTAAAGTCAAAATTGGCAACGATGATTACATCTTTGTCAAAAAAGGGGGGACAATCACCATAACCAGCACCACAGACATAAAAACAATTTTTAATGATCTCTAGATACTGGAAATTAATCAAAATTTGTTTGTTGAATGTAGGCCAATTGATTGAAAAAAGCTTTAAAGTGATCCTTGAAGATAGTTTCTGTCACATACTGGATGCTAAAAGTGAGGAAATTCTCAAAGTGAGAATGAAAGAAAAAGGTTTTTCTTTTGATCCTATCAAAGAAGAACTTGCTGCAATCTCTATTGTAATCCAATTTTGGATTCACTAAATTTTTTTGAATGTTATTTTATCTTATTATACATGACAAAAGAAAATATAATAAATAAAAAAAAGAGAAAAAAAAGGAAAAAAAAATAGAGTTTAAAATATATTTTCTCGAGTCAACCATCATTTTCTGTCAAAACCGAGTCCACCAGGTCAATACGGGTTAAACGATGTCGACCGGGATAAAAAAATGAGTTTCAGGACGTTTCGAGTCAAAAGCGTCATTTTCTGTCAAAACCGAGTCCACTAGGTCAATACGGGTTAAACAATGTCGACCGGGATAAAAAATGAGTTTCAGGACGTTTCGGGTCTTATTGTCTCCTTTAATTGGCTATAAATAGCCAATGAAATCAAGACAAAGGGGAGGAGAAAAAAAACATTCATTGTGAATTTCAATTCTGAATTCGAGCATTACGGTTTGGTTACTATTTGGGTACTATTTATTTTTCTTATACTTTTTCTCACCCTAGTAAGATATTAAATTTTTTTTTAACAAATTGAAAAGATACCAAAAATATCCCAACCGTTAGATCTAATAGTGTTTAGATTTGAACTTTTAATTTCTT